AAGCGTGAGTTTTGGACTATAGTTATTGTTGGCAGATTTAATTTATTGAAATATTACCGACTAAGCCGGCTTAGCCGTATCAAATTGAGGATAGTTTAAAGCTAGGTAGCATTTTTATATACGTCATGTGACGCTTAATCCACAAATCAATTAGCAAACTTAAAAACTAACTGGCTTTAACTCCAAAATTATCGACTCGGCTAAGCGTATAAATTTTATTCACTAATCAAGTTGTGGAGGTGGAGGTATCTGTGCACCTGCACTTCCAATGCCTGCTCTTCCTCTAAGTGGTATTGCATTTGAATTAGAACCAATTGACCCACGACCTAATTAATATTGTTATTGTAAATAGTCTTTGTAAATAGCCTTGTTCAAACTCTATAAAAATAATAAATAAAATGTACTAACCTCTACCACGACCTCTTCCGTAACCACGACCCCGCCCACCGGATCTACCACGCCCTCTACGTATCATGCTTCGTGATTTCCTGAATCTCGAGTTCTAAATAAAATAAAGTCAAACAAACGATAACCTTCCTACATATCATAAATTATAAATAAATAATGACCTGCAACGCTAAGTTCATCAGATTGTCAGGGACCTGTTGACCTGATGCTTCTAAGTTTCTCACTAGGTCCCCAGCAAATTTATCTTCTTTTTGGGTGATAAGTGTATAAGCGGTACCTTTCTCTCCTATATAAAGTAATAAATTTATAAGATTACAATATATATAATTTCAATCCTAGTTCAAATAAATTTATTATATATTACCCGCTCGGCCTGTTCTACCAATCCGATGTACATGTGAATCTATGTCACGTGCGATATCATAATTGACGACGGTTTTGACAGCCTTTATATCAAGCCCCCTTGCTAAATTGTTTATTAAATTTCAATAGAGGAATAAAAACTAATAAAATAAGAAAATCCACTAAGTCATACGCACCAGCTACATCAGTCGCAACCATGATTGGAAATTTATTATTTTTAAAATCTTTCAATACTTTGTCACGATCGACCTGCATCATATCGCCATGTAATGCTCCACCTATTTATATTTAAAAAACATAATATTTATTATCAAACGAAAGTACTTGGAAAATGAAATTTTAAACTTACATTCATAACCGACTTGATTTAAATTGCTTGACAACGCTTCAACGCCATCTTTGCGACTGACAAAAATGAGAACACTACCCTCTTGATAATAGAAAATGAAATATTAGCTTAAAAATATCGATTCAACTGATTAATGAAGACAGAGTGAAGCTTACCAACACAAAATGATGCTAAATGGCTCATTAACCAACCCCACTTGTATCCGTCATCAGTCAAAATTTCTATCCTTTGCGTGATATCAGTATTCGCCTAAGAATTTATTCATACGGTTAAAATTATTGAAGTATTATATTATATTGAAATATAAAAATTATTAATATATGAAATGTACCTGGCCAACGCTACCAATGGAAATCCTTACTGGTTCAGTGGTCACTTCGCGAGCTAGAATCTCAACTTTTTGGGGGAATGTAGCACTAAACAATAACGCTATATGATATTCGGAAATGAGAATATTCGAATATTCTTATATAAAGGTTAAAATTACAATAATAATTTTTGACCATACTTTGCCTATCTGGTCTAATATTGTCACAAATGGAACGGACTTGCGGTTCTTGAGACAGTAAAATATATATAACAATGAATCACATTGTATTTTTCTCAGTTTAAGATTGACTATATGTAAAATTGCATGTTACATACCAAAGCCAAGATCAAACATTCGGTCAGCTTCATCAAGGACTAAGAAGCTAACTCGTCGAAAATTCGTCGCTTTCATTTTGACCATATCAATAAGTCTTCCCTAATTTCAAAGTATAACAGTATATATTAAACTTTGTTTATTAAAATTTAAAACATTAAAATAAATAATATAAATAATGCAAAGTAATTTTATTTTTACTCACCGGGGTACCCACTAGTATCTCTATTCCACCAGGTCGGAGTTCTTTGAATTGATCCATTTTCGAAGCACCTCCATAAACTGCTGCAACTCTGCATTGGGTAAAGCAAGTATTTTGGGAAGGAGCAGAGAGAGTAGTGTGTGCGTCGTTTTTGATTCCATTCTACCAATATGGAACTAAATTTTATATTTTGATTTCTACCTCAGACCGTAACTCTTTGCAAATTTTTTGGCTTCAATGTATATCTGGCTTGCCAATTCCCTTGTCGGCGCTAATATTAAACCAATTGGCCCTTCGCCTATTTTAAACAAGTACAAATTCAATATATATGTTTAATGTATATAGGGGCTTTTCAATAGAAAGGGGGGAGATTTCTTCTAAGTAAAAGTTTTTTAAACTTTAAATTAAAATATCTTAACAACTATTAAACTAAATTTAATAATTTTTTTTTTATTTTAATTCTATAAAATTATAAAACTAAAAAAAAAAAATTTATTACATTTAATTTAGTAGTTATTGAGATATTTTAATTTAAAATTTAAAAAAAAGTTACTAAAAACTTTTTCCCCCTTTCTATTGAAAAGCGCCCATATTTATATATATTTTATTTAAAAAAAAAAAAAGAATATGAATATATATGTGTGTGAAATTATGCCCACCTTTTTGTAATTCTTCTTGATCCATGATATGTATCAACATGGGCCAAATAAAAGCGGCAGTTTTACCGGAGCCTTATAGAATTATAAAGGAAAATTGGTTAATTGAATTCATAAAAGTCTTTATAACTAATCAAAATAATAATAATAACGTCCACCTGTTTTTGCAATACCAATAATGTCTCTACCGGACATTGCAACGGGTACTGCCTGATATATTAAAATATTTATAGTTTTGTTGAGGTTTAAAAAAAAAAATAACAAAAGTGTTATATTGTAATACCTGCTTTTGAATTCCCGTTGGTTCAGAATATCCATGTTTAATAATAACGTTCAGTAAAGCCTCGTCAAACCCAAAGTGTGCAAAGGAAATGCAAGGCTTTGCTACATCAGCACCAGATACATGCATATCTGTGAAAAAATGAAAAAGAAAAATAAATGGTTTGATTATATCTTTAAATTTAATATTGCATTCTAAAATCAAAAATCACCAAGTTCTCGACGTATTTCCTTGACACGTTCATCGGATAACTCGGCAATATCTGGATGTTCTTCATAAAAAAATTTCTCAATTTCTGGATATTCAATTTGAGAATGATCTATTGTATAACAGTTTGATTATTTTTCTTATATAAAATTTTGACATAAAAATTAATAACTATGCAAAATGGCATAGACCAATTTCGCGACAACTATTTTGCTGACGGCCATTTAGTCGACAAAATTGTATTGTAACAGTTTATAATAGTGTTAACTAAAGACAGATTGTCCACGAAATGGCTGTCGGCAAATTTTACCAAAATCCTGCAAACCACATATTTACCAACGGCTGGGAGTGGTTCGATGTCTTTGCGCTTTTGTTCCACAACTGGATTATCATCAGAGTCGTATCTATAGTTACGTACTTTGTCGTTAATACTAGCAGGCTAAAATTAAATAGATCATATGTATATTCAAATTTCGTACTCAAGTTGTGCATCAATAGCCTTCGCAGTAGCATATACTTCCTCATCCGAATTCACATTCTACATTTTAATGTACATCAAATATCTATAAAATAAACTAAAATGTGGATATTGCTGGTGTTACCTCATCCTTTTCAATTGGTCGTTGACTTTTACCGACTTCAATTCCTTTTTTCTTCATATGATTTACATAACTTTCAACAAAATCTTCATCTTCAATATCATCTCTACGAATCTAAATTAATAATGATATGATTATTCAACCATTGCTGGCATTAACAACGTAATGAATCCCAATAAATGATTCGTACTTTTTCTTGTATAGATTTGCTTTGACTTTCTTTTTGAACTTGGCTATCAATATCAAGCATAAAAGCATCGAGAGGATCGTCAATTTCATCGTCATTTTGCACATCCAGTTTATTATCAGGCATATTCTCATGAATATTAGTGACATTCTTGTTAAAACTAAAGCCCTGAGGCACAAATCCTCGAATTCCTAATATGTTTGCACCCAATAATTATTTAACGGCCATTAAAAATGCAGGTATAAATCGGTACTAACCGGTTGAAGTCCGAGGAGGTGGAGGTCTATCGTCTTCTAGATCACCAACATAATCTTCATTAACGTTGGATAAATTACTTGCTCCATCATGTTTATCAAAGTCTTCCTCTAAGTCCTCGTCTAGTTTTACAAGTTTTCGTTTTTTTGGTTGGGAATCTTCATCGGAAAAGTAATCCAATGCCGTTGGCTTTTTATGAGTTTCGGCTTGTTCTTCCGGATCAAGCAATGATTTGGACTTGGCTGCTGAGCCCTGCGAAAATCCGAAAGCAAATGGCTTTAAAGGTCTCTTTGAATTCATGATTTACGTATGTACAAAGAAAAACTATTGTTCCTATATCGTTTTATATCCAATTTTTTGCTGTTTTTTTATTGGCTAATAACAGGAACATCATGTGAATAAACGGGTGACCAATAAAAAAGAATTTAAACAGCATTTCTTTTTTTAAAAAAAAAACCAGCATTACGAAGATGACTTCTAATGGTTCCACAATTACTAAGGATGGACTTTCAAACGTTAACGTAACTGCAGCTCTTGACGTTGAAGGTAACGTTCCTCTGGAGAGTGTTCAACTCGATGGACTGGTAATTTATCAAACTTTACAAATATAGTTTCTGTTATCCAAAATGAAATTTTACCTAAATACTCATTTGTTCAGGTAGTTTTAAAAATAATTAAACATTGTCGAGAATTTTTTCCTAGTCCAGTTACTGGTCAACTTCTCGGGCTTGATGTGAATGGTGTCCTGGAAGTGACTAATTGCTTTCCTTTCCCTGGATCAAAGCCCGATGACGAGAATGAAATTGTAGATGGTTTGTTTGAGAACGATCTAGGACAATCTCTTTCATAATTATTTAAAACCGCGAGAAATAATACCCTTTCTGTATTCGTTCCTTGTCTGCAGGTGCTCGATATCAAGTAGATATGATGCGGTGTCTCCGCGATGTCAACGTAGATCATAATACTGTTGGATGGTATCAATCGACATATCTAGGATCTTTCGTAACGCATAAATTGATTGAGACTCAATACAATTATCAACAAACATTTAACAATAAGAGCGTGGTCATTGTGCATGGTATGGCGTCAATCACATTCGAAATCACATTCGAAAATCAATTCTAATAACAATGTTATGTGTATATTAGATGTTTCTCGGTCAACACATGGAAATCTATCTCTTCGCGCTTTTAGATTTACTCAAGCGTTTATGGAGGCACAGAAAGATGGAAAATTTACCACTGAATCACTTATAAAGAACAAACTCACTTTTTCCACTATTTTTGAAGAACTTCCCATTACGATTAAAAACTCCCACTTAGTGACTGCGCTTCTTCACTCATTGGATGATTATGAACATGTTATTCCAAAAGCTTCCTCGTTAGATAAGGAGACTGTAGTTGGTCCCTTGACCCCCAATTTTGATACATTGGAATTAAGCCTCGACCCATATATTGAAAAAAATTTAGAGTTTTTATTGGAGGCAGTAGAAGAACATAGTCAGGAACAAAGCAACTTTGCATTTTGGCAAAGAAGCGTTGTTAGGGAGCAAACTAAGATGCAGGCTGCTCTACAGAAGAGAGTATGTATTTTAACAATTTTACATTTTATAACATTTCATTCGTCAAAATTTAATGACTTTATTCATTTTAAAAAGAAACAAGAAAATGTACATCGTATTGCTTCTGGGCAGGAGCCTCTTCCGGAAGAAGATATTATAAAGTCGTTTAAATTTCCACCTGAGCCATCAAGATTAGATTCTTTATTAATTACCTCTCAAATTAATAATTATTGTAAACAATTAAATCAATATGCTGGACCAACACTTGGAAAACTTTTTGTGGCTGGAGAATTTCAAAAATAAAGTATTTCGAATTTATTGTTTTATTGCATAAGTTTATACCTGATACGTACAGTTTTATCAGTTAATCGGTGGACCGCAGAAATTTCATAGTAAAAATCGGCGGGCATTTACTAGTTACCTTATATGGGGTGTTATCTATTGAAACAGCCCTTTTTTACATATATTTTATTTTGAGATATTTGAGTTTAATCATTTGTTT